CTAATACTGATTCTTCTCTGCCTCAGTTCTTCTGCAGTACCGCACACTGCTTTAGGAAAATGATTAAACTTCACATGGCCTTGTAGGACTTGAGCACATCTTGGCACTATTCCAAAACCTGGCCACTCCCTTCCATCTTTATCAGTCCTGTCCTTTCCCCCTTGAAATGACAAGAAAAGGATGGCATCAATCATCTCAACACATCATCATTTGTATACCACCAGCACACATTATTTCACTATACAACTCAAATAACACCTCCTCTGAGGAAGCCTTTCTAACCACACTGAAGTCTAAACTCCTGGGTTTTGTTTTTTTTTCTACAAAAAAAGTAAAAGTTTCTGGAAACTGCCTAAACATCTCATGTGGCATAACAATTTGCTGAGCAAAAGTTTGTCTGATTCACGAGATTGTGAGCTGTCTTGTTTCAGCAAGGATTGCCCTATGAAGTCACAGAAGGTGACTTCAGCTAACCTTTATTGAGTAAAATGAATGAATAAAAAAAGGGAAATTAAAGTTTTTCAAATCAGTCTTGGGTCTCATCTTTTTGCCCATCTTCATGAATTTCCATCAGCACCAAATCTTGTGATGGTTTCTGAGGGGGCCACTTCTTTTATGTTCAAAGGCTCATCATAGCCATGTGGAAAGGTGTGGTGAGTAAAGTTTCTGTGCTTTTCATGACAGACTACAACTCTTATCACATACCTCTGACACCACATTCCCCACAGGCCACCCTATATGAACACAGCAAACGAAACTCCACCAAGGGAAGAAGCAGCGACCTGGATAAGAGCGTAGATGAGTGAGTTATGTTGAAACTGGCCAGACTTCTGCTTTTTACCATCTCGTTTACAAGGACCCTTAACAGTTCGCTATTCTACCTGGTCAGGGAAATGAAGTGGCTCCCTTCAGAAACTTAGTCTTTGAATTTGAAATGGGAGCAAATTTGAATAACTGGAGTCAGAAGCCAGAGAACTGGCATTTTTGCTCTGCTGTTGGCTGCCAGAACAAGAGGAGTTTCTCTGGGAAGATGCTTAGCGAGGCCACCAATCATGGAGGTAAAAACAGAGCAAAGACTGAAAACAGAAGAAGGTGGGTATCACCTAACATTTGCATTTGGACTGAAATTCTAATTGGGAGGCTAAGTGCTCACTGCAGACTTCGTCCTGGGGTTACTTTGGCTACGGGATTCCAGCGAGTGTTAAAGTCATTACAGAACAGCTTCAATCTAAACAAGCACCCACCTTTTCCATTCCACACCGAGATGAAATTACTTTGCTGTATACAACTGAGGAAAAGAACGACGAAAAGACAAGACCTGCTGTCAGTTCCTCTTTTCCCAGCGGAATTATAAAAGCTCACTCTCCCTACACTCTGTTTTTCAAATTTGGACGTCAGACATCTTAGAAGAGTTTGCATTAACGACTTAGGCTAGTGCCTGACTTAAGTGACACCAGCATGTCTGCCCAGTGCAGAGCTGATTTTCCATGCGAGCACACACAGGGCCATCCGGTCTCAGCATAGCAGCTCTGACAAAGCACAAGAGTGAGGGGAGCTGAAAGCCCTGGGCTGTTTATAACAAGAGTCATCAAGGAACTGAAGCTGGTTTAGCTGGAGGGAACAAAGCCGAAAAAGTTGACAAAAATAAAATGTTGCCCAGAATGCAGGAGGGAAGTTTCCTTGGAAGAAATGTCCTTCCTCTATTTCCAAAGACTATGGATGTCTGAGGCTTATTTCTAATTGACAAATCAGGAAATGCAAAGTTTTTCCAGGCAGCCAGGATCATTAGCATGCAGGGACCTGAGGCTTTGTGCCTAGAGCAACTTTTTATTACGAAGAAGATAAAAATGATGCATTGTATATTATATTCTATCAGCCGAGATCATGAAAATCACAATACATGAAATGCAGCCTTGCCTCGCCCCACCTAGCAATAGGCTTCTCCGTGCCTTCTGAGGATATCAACCCCTTCCTACTCACTTAATTTTCTTTTTCTTTTCCATTGTCTTTTTCTTTCAAGAAATGCATGCAACGAAACCTGTTAAGCAAAGAACTCTAAAGAGTGATGGGAAACAAATTAAAATGAGCAGCATTTAAATAATCAGCACCTGCAAATGACGACGAGGGGCCTGACTGCTGAAATTAACCATATCCTTTAACATCCAAAACAGATGACAGTAAGCCATTTTGAGCAGTCAAGAGAGGAAGCTATATTTCAGTTCTTGGAGAGCCGAACGACTTTCAGTAAAGTTGACCAAAAACGAGTCCCATTTTGATTTAGTTAATCCCACTACAGAAAGGTGGGTTTTCATTAAACCTTTTCTCTGGTTTAATAACACTTCAAATGAGCAGCTTAGGACATGGTTCAAAATATATTCATTATTCAGTAAGCTATTGCTGTATGCTCCACCTGGCAGCTGTGAGGCCTTGTAAGAGGAGATGTCTTGTTACTGAGAAAAAGTATTATCCTTGCCAGGATTCTAGTCAATAAATACAACTTCAAATACCAATGCCAAGTAGACAAATAAGGATGCCTCTGCTCGCCCACCCAGGAGCAGAGAAAACCAAAGTAGAAGGGTTACTGTAACCTGGATAAAGTTTGAAATTTTCGCACACGGAGAAAATAATCCATAATTCTGTAGACACATGAAGCAGTGAAAGACATAATTTTATGGTCTAGAGTAACTGGTGAAAATTCTAGCAGCTCTCTGCATTCCTTTCTCACCTGGAGTTTTATGCCCGGTTCTGGAATTCAAGTTGAGTGACAGTCCGCATGGCCATGGCCTGCTTCCAGCTAAGCCCCTGAACTGCAAGAGCTGAAAATTCCAACAGAGTCCTCAGCTCAGAGTTCTCCCCACCCAATTCTTGCCAAAGCTTGTGTCCCCAAGGGAAGGCTGTCTGTAGGGGTGGCAACTGGGGCACACAGTCAACAGTAACGATGCTCTCCCCAGCCCCCTCATATTAATAGGACCATTTGTTTCCATTGCAGTTAATATTGTAACCACCTTCTTATCAATGAGCAAAGTTCATAACAACCAAGGTACTTCGAACTAAAACCATGTTCAGAAATTAACTATTTTTACTGGAAACAATCCATTTTAGGTATGCCAGCATTAGTTAACGGGTTTTTTTTTTTCTTTCTTCCTAAACAATACAGAATCATTGTTGCCAGTAAGACCTAACCGCTTATAAAAAGCTTAGTCCTGTTTGAATCAGGACAGCGATGATGTTTATGGCATGAGAAGCAATGAAATTCACTGTGAAACATCTTCTGGCCAAAGTCATCAGCAGATCTAATAGTATGGTCTTCAGAAAATGAGGAGTGCGGCTGTCACAGATCAGAAGTGCTCTCATTACTCCGAGGACACTGGAGAGCATGTCAGAAGCTCCTCCTGTCTTCTTCCCAAGACCAACATGCTCCAATACGTTGGATTTTAACCCTTTAGAGGCTGTGCTGAGAGGGACACCCAGGAAACCAAAGGGAAAGTCCTAGGTGACGAACAACTTGTAAGCGACTTTCTCAGGCTGAAAGAAACCATGTATACCCCTCCCTACCAAAGTTTACAACCGGTACCCATTTCCAGTACCACCTGCTACCAAACCCACAGCACCAGGCTAATCGCATGTGCTCAAGGCTAGCCAGGAAGTGCTAGGTCCACACAGAGGGTCTTCAATAACAACTGTGGAACCCAAGCCCATCTAATCCCACATAGGTATGTTTTCTGACTATAAGCCTATGTTTAGGAGAGGCTTTGAAAACCCTGGTTTTAAAAGGATTTTCTGGAAGCCGGGCAGTGGTGGCACATGCCTTTAATCCCAGCACTGGAGAGGGAGAGGCAGGCAGATCTCTGTGAGCCTGGTCTATAGAGCAAGATCCAGGACAGGTACCAAAACTACAAAAAGAAACCCTGTCTCAGTGTGTGTGTGTGTGTGTGTGTGTGTGTGTGTGTGTGTGTGGTATATGGATTCCCCGGAAACCCACAAGCTACTCTTGCCAGGAAGCAGGAGAGTTAACTGCAGATCTTCGCCTCTCAATCAGCTCCTCCATGTCGAACACCCAGTCTCATCCTCAGGTATTCAGCAGAACACCTGCCATGGCCTCCCCTCCCTCTCTGGCCCCATCTTGAGTGGGTCACACACACACATCTTCTCCTAACTTCCTTCCCCCAGTGCTTTATCCCTGCTGCCAACTCCATCAGGTTCTCTGGTCAACCTATAGGTCACTCATGCCGGGGAAGCAGATATCCCCTTCTTCCTCAGCTCCTCCAAAACCAATTCCCCAGTTCTATGCCCATCTCTGTAGCAGAACATCTACTGTGACCTCTCCTCAATCTCTGACCCCATTCCCAGGGGACTAATCAGATCCTCGCAGAACATCCTGCTTTCTTCCTTCCCGTGGACCCCCTCTGTACTTCCCCAAAGCCCATCACCCTAAGTGTCAGCTCCTAATACCTAGGAACTCATTTTACCTGGAACCCGCAGTGACCACATGTAAAAGCACCCCAGACGAATTCCTTACCAGGCAACACGGAGCTACCACACTCTCTGAAGAACCAGGAAGGACAACAGAAACCAAGGAACAAAACACCCACACAACAAAGACATGACTAGATATCAGCACCTAGAATTACTGTCCTCCCCACCCCAGATGATCAGACAAGAGGCACAAAAACACAACCAATAAAAGCCAGAACAGCCTGCAGCAAGATCGACACTTTAGTTAGAGGTGTACAGCAGGATCATGAGCAACAGCTGTAACATTCCTGACTGGGCCTGGGTCTGCATACCTGGATCTGGAATCTGCAATCAAAAAGGCCAGCACCAGAGGAGTTGTCTTTGAAGAAAGAATGGCTCATTGTTTCCCTGGCTCCTGTAAATACTTCAGAAAGAGCACCAGAGCTGGCTCTGCAAAGTGGGACTCACAGCTACCAGAGAAGGTGTTTCTCAAGATCCGCCGCCACAAGACCACCATCTTCACGGAAGCCAAGGAGTCGAGTACCATGTTCCAGCTAAAGCGTGCTGTCCAAGGCATCCTCCAGCGGCCTCCAGAAGAGCAGCAGATATACAAGGATGACCAGCTCCTTGATGACAGAAAAACTCTGGGCGAGTGTGGCTTCACTAGCCAGACAGCACGGCCACAGGCCCCAGCCACAGTGGGCCTGGCCTTCCGAGCAGATGATGCTTTTGAAGCCCTGCATAGTGAGCCCTTCTCCAGTTCTCCATAGCTTCCAGATGTAATGAAGCCATAGGATTCTGGAGGCAGTGCCAATGAACAAGCTGTGCAGTGAGGGCCACAGGCCCATCATTCCCCTAGAGACCCATTCTCTCAATAAAGATGATTTGGCTGACAAATAAATAAATAAATAAAAGCCAGGACAAACAAGTCTTCACTAGAACCCAGCAACCAAACCAACAACAGTCCCCATGTTAAAACACAGCAGTCAGAGTACTGTAACAAAGCTGAAGCAGAAAAAGAAAAAAAAGACCTTAGATAGTCTTTCTATATATGATAGAGGTCTTTAAAGAAGAAATGAATGAATCCCTTAAAGAAATCTATAAAAACACAAAGAAACAGTGGAAGAAAATGAGTGAAATAGTTCAAGGTCTGAAAGTAGAAGTAGAATTGATAAAGAAAAGCCAAACTAAGGGAAGTCTTGAAAAGACAACTTTAGGAACTGGAACAGGAACCTCAGAGGCACGCCTCACCAACAGAATACAAGAGATGGAAGAGAGAATCTCAGGCACTGGAGAAACAGTGGGAGGGAATGGATACCTTGACCAAAGAAATTGTTCATTCTAAAAACTTGGGGCACAAAACATCCAGGATATCTGGGATACTATGAAGAAACCAAATCTAATAATAATAGGAATAGAGAAAAGCCCAGGTCAAAGACACAGAAAATATTTTCAACACAAGCATTAAAAAAAAAATCCCAATTCTAAAATATGTTGTGGGATATCCTTCTGTATGCTGTGAACATGTACTGCTATGATTGGTTAATGAAGAAGCTGCTCTGGCCTATGACAAGTCAGGTTATAGCCAGGCAGGAAATCCATGGAGAGAGACAGGAAAGAGAAAAGCAGAATCTGGAGAGACACCAGCCTGACACCAGAGGAGCAACATGCCAGCAGATCAGTAAAGCCATGGAGCACATGGCGAAACATACATTAATAGAAATGGGTTAATTTAAGTTATAAGAGCTAGCTAGCAAGAAGCCTGCCATAGGCCAAACAATTTGTAAATAATATTAAGCTTCTGATTGATTATTATATAAGTGGCTGCAGTCCTGAGGCCGGGTGGGACCAGAGAAAACATTTTGCTACAAAAGTAGGAGATACCTAGCAAGTTACATTAAGCATACAAACCAAGACTGGACATAAAACAGAATTCCTTCAGCACATAATACTCAAAACACCAATGAGATAATCATGTTTTTGTCTTTCACTTTGTTTATATGGTGGGTCATTTGTTGATTCTCATATATTGAATCATCTCTGCATCTCTGGGATGAAGACTACTTGATCACAAACAGACAACTCGTTGAACATGGAGAGATCAAGCTGGTGCCTACACAGAACCTTCAACCCTATATTCTAGTGTTTGGTATGGGAAGGTACTCTGCAAGCTACCAAAAGAGAAGCTTATATACCAATCCAGCTGCAAAACTGTTGATCTACAATAGTGTCCTGCCTGTAAAATATGCTAGGGCAATGGTGGCACAAAGCTTATGGGAGTAACCAACCAATATCTGATTTGACTTAAGGCCTACTCCACAAGATAGAACCCATACCCACCACTGCTTGGGTAACCAAGAACCAGATACTAGATAGACTTATGATAAAACCAAATACTAATGGTTTTAAAAAATAGTGATAAAATGACTCTTGGTGATGTTCTGCTGTACTCATAGATCAATGCCTTATTCAGCCATTATCAAAGAAGCTTCCTCCTGTAACAGATGGAAACACATAGAGAGACTTACAGGCAAAGGGAGAGACCTTGAAATATTCAACTCTAAATGGGATGTCTCCATCAAATCCCTTCCCTCAGAGTTCAAAGAACCCCTCAGAAGAAAAGGTAGGAAGAGTGTAAGAGCCAGAGGGGATGGAGGAAACCAGGAGAAGAAGACCCCCTAGATTAACTAAGAAAGCTCTTATGAACTCACACACACTGAAGCCACAAGCACAGGGCCTGCACAGGTCTGTACCAGGTCCTCTGCATATATATTATGGCTTTTAGTCTAGTGGTTCTTTTGTTTGTTTGGTTGGTTGGTTTGTTCTTGTTGTTTTGTTTTGTTTTTT